TTATAATACTGTATATTACCTAGAACTTTGTAATACATACGTATTCCACATCACCTAGAACGTTGTAACACATACGTATTATAATACTGTACATCACCTAGAACATTGTAACACATGCGTATTCTAATATTGTACATCACCTAGAACTTTGTAACACATACGTATTCTAATACTGTACATTACAAACCAATTTAAATATTTTACATTTCTAAGCATGTACTTCTACTATTACTACTTCTGTGGGATCTGTGAAAAACATTTACAACTAGAGTTACTGGAAGAATAATGTTATTTTATTTTTTACAATGCAATAAACTCATTCTTAGATTATTTCCGATTTCAAGAAAAAAATACATTTTATTCGAGAATTCATACATAGAAAATGTTGATCTTTGTTTTTGTAATATCAATATTTTTGTTGTTTATGGACCTATTACCATATCGATTGAGAATTCAAGTTATTTTAAGTTGTTGTAGTGCGCTGTTGATTTATTTAGTAATTCAGATTTCACTGAGTACGTTAACTTTGGTTGCAGTTTATATGTGTCATGATAAAATTCTTAGGTATCCAGTGAATTGTTTCGGAACAGAGGTAAATCATGTTTATTTCAACAATTTGAAGTGTTCTTCAATCTGTTGTTTGGCAGATATTGTAGATTGTCACGCGAGTGATCAGTGATTAAATAGCAGAACATTAATCTGATTGGCTGTTCCAAATACACGAGTTTGTTCGATACAACACTAAATATATAATTTCATATAATAGTAAGAGCACGAGTAGATGATATCTCATAACATTGGTATATGATAATACACCACGAGATTAAGTATTTGAAATCGAATCTCAGATTGTACAGAAACTGTACTGTGTTACACTGCGTCACTTCTTTACATATATATGTACATATATGGAGAAGTATTCCATAATAGGACATGAATTGAATTGCTACAGCTTTGCTACTCTTCCACTCGCGATTGATGTTCAACATTGGTGAAGTAAATTTGTTTCTGACTCACAAATATTTCCTGAATTTTCTGATATATTCTGATGTCGAAGTAAAGAGCTTCGAATACTTCTTGGTCGGCGAGAAGCTCTCGTTTCAAGTCAACTAGCAGTTCACTTTGCGATAGATAGTCACCTTCCGTTTTGAAAACCTCTTGTTCAACGGTGTCCAAACAAATCTTTTCAAAAGGTAACTTATAAGCATGTTGCAAAAGTTTCAGAAACGTGTCATACTCTTCAGTAATTCCAACAACACCGAACCACGTTTCTAAGTGTTCCAGAACAAAATCCAAAACCTTTAATTTCTCTTGTGAATCCATGATATGATCCAGATACAGTTTATTTCGATACCAACACGGCATAGTTGCAGCGGTGGGATCGTCTGGTTGTCGAAACGATTCAATTGTTGACAGGTAGGCTATGCTACAAACGTCCGGTTTGTGGAGCAATTGTCTGAAAAAGAAACTTCCCTGACGCATCGCCCATTCCTTCAGCGTGAGTAATTTTCCTTTCGCGCTCCGTGCTAGGCATGGCAACTCATTGGCACCTTTACAGTACACGTAAGATGCTATAATACGTTCATATGGTTCTCGTATGACCGTAAAGTAGGAACACGGTTCATTGGTATAATCGCAGACACCCATTGTGAAACCGCCAAGATACATCTTCTCAAGCAACTGATTGCTCCCGTCACCGCTCATCTCTGAATAGAACTTTGCAACGTTATTGTTCCATACCAGTGTTGGTTTGGGTAAAGACACATTGGCGGCAAGCAGTGACATACACTCTTTCATCACACCTCCAGCTGAATTATGGTTATCCACAAATACAATAGATCCGTTGGCGTAGAAGGAATCGGATGGCCAGCGGTTAGTACCAGAGAAGACTCGTCTAGTGTAGAAATTCGGAAGATAGTTCTTCTGCATCGCCCACGCATAGTTAGTCATATATGTAGGCGGGTTATCCTTGTACGTGTGGCTTGAAAACAACGCTGACTGTTGATCGTTGTATTTGTTAATGTTGACATTTCTATAATAAAATCAACATAATGTATACGATCAATTGCACCATGTTACAGTCATTATAGTCGTGCAGTGTATTTTCGGATTTTGTGAAAACATTGGTGTTTTTTTTAAGTATTGTTTTGCAACAATACATGACATATTGTTTTTGTTTTTTCAAGTACAAAATATGTTTGTTTGTTTTGTTTTTTGTGGAAAACGCCCCGACAAAATAATGTGAGTTTTATAGTTATTAATCGACGATAAAGTATTATTTCATGAAAAAACAAATTATTTCACAATAATTCATGTCAATTATACCCACATTCTAAGTACATACTATTTTTTCACAACATGTTACCAAACGAAATTGTGAGATATGATGACATGGGTCGATTGTAAGTTGGTCAAAATAGAATAGAATAGAATAATTTAACTTAAATCCAAATAGTGGTACTATAAAGACGTCGTGGTGTGTATCTGTTTGTCACTCAAGTGAGTGAATTACTTATTTTTAGTAATATACGGAAGTTATTGGATTTGTTCATACAAAATCATTTTGTTCGCTTAAAGGATTAAAAGGGTATATTCATTAAATTTAATAGTTGCCATGTTTCATGCTTATAACGTGACAAGGGCCACATAAAAATGGATCTTGAGAATAAAAAAAATAATTTTGTATAAAAACGTACATCGACGCTTAAAAGGTCATCGACATAATTAACACATCAAATGTACACCAGCGCAATGCGTTATAATTATATTATTTTCTGAATAAATAATACGTCCTAGTTTTTGTAGCTCCAATAATATTATTCCCAGTCATGTTTAAATGCGTGGATTAATAATACCTCAACGGGTTTCACATCAATAAATATAACGTAAACAGCATAAATATAATTCTTACCTTACTTCCGGAACCATTTTATCAATTTTCCTGTATGACACAGCAAGAACAATTAAGGTAAATATGCTACCAATTAAAAATACCAGGTTACCAGGGTTACGTGGAAAATGAAAACGCATATTAGATATAACGAAACTCATATTGCCACCGATCTCTTCTTGGCAGAGATATTAAAAGCTGTATTATGCGTCACACTCACAGTCCTATGGATTGAGTTTACGTTATAATATTCATGATTGACATCTTATGTCCCAGTGGTTAGTCAAAGTACAATACAATCCCCATCTTCGGTAGATTCTCGCAGCTTCAACATTACAAACCTCTGCCAGATTTGATACATTCGGCAGCATTCGTTTTTTTACTATGGTGTTTTACATAATCCTTTGTAAAAATACATCCAAAATATAATTGTGCTGGTGACATGCGCACATGTCACATCTGTGATGTAGATTAACTCGTCATGATATATAATTGTATAAAACTGTACACGCTGGCAGTTATCCCGATGTGTGATCAGATATGCGATGTACGTGTAATTTACAGCGTAAATAATACACACATAGACACACTTGTATGTGTAGTTTCAAGAATCTAAAATTATTTCCTAATTTTGTGTTTTAACATGTACGCCATTTAACATGTGCGCCATTAGGATGACGTGTTTGTGTGACCAGCTGTTACATGCTTGTTTCATTTCAATAACATACATAAATAGTCACCAATATGTGTTTAATAACGCTGTGTAAACACAAATATATTTAACTGAATCGATTGTTTGTTTGTTTGTTTGTTACATTGTTTTCTGATGTTCATATTCTTGCTTGAAGAATGTAATGCAATCGATGTGAATTATGACGTCATCTGGTGGGAGTACATTGGCAATGGGACTTCATACTGCATATGTTTACCTAATATAATGTTGCCAACGAGCTGGTACACCATAATGCATTGCGCCATTACAGACGCTGAATGCCCTTCGTTACAAGCTTCACGTGACATTAGAAAATGTATTCAACCTCCAAATTTAATTAGCTCTAAGAAATATATTTGGAAATTGTGATTTTGAAAAATTCTTTCTTTCATTCATATATTTTTACATCATCGCCCGACGACATCACCAATGCCCAGAATGCATTTCGGGCTCGGAAAATAGCAATAGCGGCG